CTCCAAAAATGAGGATTTAAATGCACAAGTGATGCTTTAGTGCCTACGTTGTTCTACTTGACTTTGAACTTAAACCCTTCAGAGGAGGATCAGATGGCAGAAACTGTAGAGCAAACATTAAATACACTATTTTAATTTCCACATAAAAAATGCATAAAACTATATTAAGACCTGTTACTGTCAGTGCACATCGTGGACCTCCAGATATTCACCACGCTGACCTTTTACCGTCCACACGTTGCTGTTAATGTACACGAGTGCTGATTGACTCCAGAGTTCTCACAGGTTCATTAAATATTTTTCCTCACCTGCCTTCATCCCAGATTACGTAAGACCGTCTTGGCTCATAAACTCCGGTGCCAGGTCACAGAGTTGACGTTGGCACCAGCACTTGGACTTCACGCTGAAGATGGCACTTTCACCGCTGCAGGTCAAGTAGAGTGGATCACGGCGATAATCAGCCCAGAGTGGATTTTCCTAAAGAGGAGCGTTACGACAAACATGACTCTAATATTAGACCGCCAGGCCCGAGGCGCTCGCCGTCGTCTCCTCTCTCTGAAGGGAAGGTTAGAAACTCGGCGGAAATAAAATCACACAGGTTTTAATACGTTGCATTAAAGTCTTTTGAAACACACGAGCAGGAAAAGTTGTGAGAATAATCACCCTGGATGGAGGACATAATGTCTACATTATTATTTATTTTTTATTTGTGGCCTGATTAAGAACAAGATCTGACAGATGCAGGAAAACTAAACTCTGCACAACAAAGTGCATCCTTTCAACTCGTTTTGATTATTTGCCGTCTTTAGTCAGACCTAATAGATGATATATATATAGATCTACTATAGTGTACTACAGATGTACAAAACATACAGCGCATGTGTTAGCATTTATAGTAGAGGCTGTAATAATACCATCATTGTTGGACCGCTGCGTACGACTGCAGCTAAAAGGGATTTATTGTGTCTAATCTCCTGTTTCATTGAATTTGTTAGAGCTGCAATTAAGATTTTTTATTTCATTATAACATGTTATAATAATAATATATTTAATATGTTCAATAACGTTCTTTTAGCAGCTTTTTGTTCGTGGAAATGAATCAAATGAAAAATGGGTTTTTGGAACTTTTACTGTCGATTTTTGTTATTACTATATGTTGTTGCTTCAGGATTAAATTGAAATTGCAAAAAAAAATTATTTTCAGTTTTTGATGCTCATTCTTTACTTTTATATTATTACAATATTATTACTTATATATAAATTGTTTTGTATATTCTTGCTTCTGTGATAAAATCATTCCCCTTGTGGATCATTAACGTTTGTCCAAGTCTGAATTTTTGCAGTCAAATTAAAATTCACTCACTACTCAATGTTATTTTTTAGCGATTGCAGCTGGACTGAGCCGTTAGCACTCAGGAAGCAGCCACACATCCACTCCTGCAACCACATGACGTATGATATCCTCATTCATCAGCTGTATGTATATGCTCTAGATAGCGTAGTGTCTGTAACATATCTTTACTTTCATTCTATTCTTTCCGTCACTTCTCGGTTATATTCAAGCATTTTTTAACCGCCTCTCGGTGGGATGACATCAAAATGTCACGAGCACACGCTGCCGGTCACGTGCACACCTGGACCACACGCTGTAACGACTACAAAGGATGGATGCAGCAGCAGAGGCGTCTGTTGCTGTGCCAGCCAGAGACGCCCCGGCTCTGCCCCTAATGAAATAACCCCTTCTGACAGATGGCAAGTACCACTCTCCCTCTGTTGCATAATTTAAACTGACCTCTCTAATTGAACAATGATTCAAGTCATCAGCCGGCGGGAGAAGGTCAAGCTTGTCTGAATGAAGTCCTGGTCGAGACCGACAAAGTTTTGTTTGTCTTGGGAAACATGTCAGAGTGACTCATGGACACAGAGCAAAGCTTCAATAAAGCATCATTAATCTACATTCCTCAGCTCCAACATAAGGCTGCTTCTACACATCAACAATGCTGCATCAGCGTCAGGTTATTGTAGATTTTAACTTCATGTTAGATATGTTAAAGATTTTCTCGAGTTTTTTATCAGACAGGACAGTGAAGCCAGACGGGGAAACGTGGGGAAGGATGTCCAGCCCCGTGGTCCTGTAGCCCCGGTACATGGGTCGCCATCTCATCTGGTTGAGCTATCGAGGCGCCACAGTTGACCTAAAATCTTTGACTTAAGCTTGAACGAGACCTGATTTGAGACCCTGACTATAATCCGGAGGGATTTGGTTCAGGGTCATAAACACATGACCCTGACTGTTCCATACAGGTTCCATCATGCAGCACATGCAAAGTGTGCAGACGACTGATAAAGTTTTGTATGGAAACAGCTTTGTGGTGGGCTAGACTGTCGGTTCTTCCAGAATATAGATACACAACGCATGATGGTGGCTTGGTTCTACGTAGCACAGCAGAACATTGGTGTCAACAGCAGAAAACAGTTAAAACCCTGATCCTGACCTCTGACCAGCCACTGGAGGGAGGTCCATCCACCCATCCATCCATCCATCCATCCATCCACCCATCCATCATCCATCCATCCACCCATCCATCTATCCATCCATCCATCCATCTCCAACGTTTCAGTTGTGATGGCAGCAGGCTCAGTTGAGAACAGCCGACATCTCCCTTCTGAGCAACACTGTCCATCTCCTCCTGGGGTATCCTGAGGTGTTCCCAGACTAGATAGAGCAGTAATCTCTGCCTCTACCCCGAGGTCTCCTCCAGAGGAAGGAAAACCTCCAGAGGAAGGCCTTCAGGAGGCGTCCTGCTCAGATACCTAAACCGACTCTATACCTTCCGGAAACTTTGCTTTTCTTTAATTTAGAAACTTTCCTCAAAACTTTCTTTTTATTAGAGAATTCCTGGAAATATACCTGGACATGTTGGTATGAACTCTCCTGGAAAAAAAAAAAGTCTATTTTTGCCTGGAAACTGTCCTGGAATTTTTTTTTGAGAAGATCCCTGAGAAATTCCCACTATTTCACTAGAAAATTCCCATAAGATTCCCATAGAATGGCATAAAATTCAACTTAGAATTGCTATAAAATGGCCATTAGACTACCATTAAATTGCCATAAAATTGTCATAAAATCGCTGTAAAATCTGTGAAAAATTCCAGGAGAATTCCTTCAAAATCTAACTGATCAATATTATTACGTGGCAAGTTTCAAAATTGTCCCATAAGCAAAAGATTGAGTTTTGATTTCCAAAAAATGCTGCATTTTCTTCATTCCCCAGAAACTTGTGAACATTTCCTGAAAATCTGAAGACTCTTATGGACGTATACTTCATGAGATGTGGACGTCTGAAGGTGGCATCTCGTTAAATTTCCAACTTGTGAGATTTACTGAACATTTCTATTGAGTAAAAAAAATGTGAAAATGTTGGAATTTCATTTTTAAAAAAGTTTTCAGATGCCAAAGATCGTTCCAGCAAAGTTTCAGGAGATTCTGAGATGGTCAAGCAGCCACGTTTGCTGAGTTGACATGGAATGAGACAGACCTTGAGAATGTTTTGGATGTTTGGAAATGGGACCTGTTTTTTTTTTGCTCAGATTCCCAGAAACACACATTAGAGAGGAGGTAAAGTCGATGCCGTTCATGTTTGCGTGATGTTTGAGTTGCTGTGGAGTTCTGCCCCCAAGTGACCAAAAAGCGCTGACCGACACTTCTTTAAAACTCGTCACTGTGAGGTTTTGGCAGCGATCATTAGTTCAGATTACTGGGTCAGAAGCTGCCTGGAGGGATTATGTATATCTTGAACAATCTTATTTGCTGCAGAAAATGGCAAACAACCACGAAGGGCAGCTAATCCTCTGCACAGAAAGACCAGAGGGTGGAGACTAACAACATGGAGCCATGCCAGCCCGGCCAGGAGGAGGAGGAGAGGCCACCATGCCTCCGCTGGACTCTGCAAACTTCTGTCAGTGCAGCCATCATGACTTCAATAATTCTGTTTCTATCTAAAGCAATGCCATCAGCAGCCAAGTATCTTTAGATGGGACACGTTGGAGGAGGATCATTCACAGTGCAAGTAGAATAATTGAGCTAAACACACCTCAGGACTTGCTGTCAGGCTCATTTGTTAACTAGAGATCAGAGTTAAAGGAACAGACGACAGAAGGAGATGAAGGTAGCAGCCCAAACACAGAACAGAGAGAAGGCCAAGGTCAGCTGTAGACCCTGATCTTCACAGGAGGCATGAAGCACATCGCCTGACTGGTAGCTTTGTTTACAAAACCGAGCAAAACCGCAACCCTGACCTCATTCGACACCCAAAATCATTGGCCTGAGAGGCAGGATTTAGTGTGGGCGCCCAGGAGGGAGGCTGAGAGGGAGCAGAGGAAGCGCTCGGCAGCCTGGCGGCGGCATGTAGAGCAAACCAGAATGCACAGAGGCTGGGTGTCAGTGATCAAACGGCTGGGAGTAGTTATCTGGTCCTGACTGGTTGGCAGATTCCCAAGTTTGTTTAGCTGACAGATGAGGGTCCAGAAGGTGACTAACAGGATGAGGCCAGGCGGCCACGTGGCCCCGCGGGGATTACAAGCACCAAGAAGAAGGTAAAGAGATTAGAGCCAGAGCCCAGCTTGCTTTTTTAACCTCGTCACTGTTGTCACACTGACAGCAAAGAACTCTTGAGCCAAAATTCCTTCCCCGGTTCTCCTTCCTCCGCTTGTCCTCCCTCCCTCGCTGCCGCCGCTCATCCATCCATGCAGCCACCTCCGCTGTCCACAGGGATCCAGCACCGTCCAGGACCTCGCTACTGGGGACACTGAGCTGGAGCACCAACACAGTGGACTCCCTGGTTTGGTGCGTGCCAAGAGCTCGCCGGCACCGATGAGGAGGCTCGTGCACGCGCTGCTAATGGACTCGAGATAAAGAGATTTTGGATTTTATTGTTGTTCGCAACAGTCTCTTTACAAATGGTAACTTCGGGCTTGAAAAACACATAAATTAGCCCAACATGCTTTTGAAGTCGGGATTATTCCTCACTTTGTTTCTGTTTACCCTCCAAGCAAGTCAAATCAAAGGTAAGAATCCTGTCGGAGCACCGAGGCTGTGATTGGACAAAGAGTTACTGTTTGTGCTCAGACTGCAGGTTTCAGTGTTCGTCTGGACGGATCTCTTTATGAGCAGCGCTAGAACAACGTCTTGTTAGATCAAACTCTTGTCAACAGTTTTTGCAAGTTCAAATGTGTTTGTATCCCTGAAATAGTCAGCCAATAGCGCGTCTGTTTACCCTCCGAGCGAGTTGAATCAAAGGTAAGAATCTGAGACCTTTTATGTCGAATAAGTTCTACTGCATGACGAGAAACTTAAAGAGGCGATCCACTTCAGCAGCAACAGGCTTTTCCAATTACAGGCGGACGTGTCTGTTATCTAAAGAACTCCGTCTGCGCGCCGCAAAATGCCAGCTCACCCTCACACACATCTTTCATTTTTAGAAGTCGAGCAAATGTCAGGGAGATAGCGAAAACCTCTTTTAAGGTCACGAATTTTCCCCGCGAATCAAACGGGCAGCGATAGATGTTCGCTGAGGAAGATGGCATCGTTTCACCAGCGATAACATTTCGTTGGGTTGTCTTGTTCAGCACGACGTGGTCGGGCGAGCTCATTATCCTGAAGGAAACAAAAGCCATTCTGTTCCCCGTGTCGCAGGACGCTAATCTCTTCTGGCTTGTAATTCTGCTGTGAGGCCTTTTTGCGGCTGCACCGGGCATTAAGGCCCAATCCGACACTCCCCCCTCCCGACCCGACTGGAGCGCCGGGCCTCGTGTCTGTGCATGTGCACGTCAGGCTTCAAGCATCCCGATTTAAAAAAAACCCATTCAGATGTTGTGTTGTAGCAGAAACACACATGATTTGGCAAATCTTCAGGCCTCTTTCCAACCTGCTGAAACGTTTAGAAATGATCTGCTGAATGGGTCTGCCTGACCGTCACTAAACCGGCGCTCAGAGCTACAGTACCGACGCCCACGCACTGTGTGCAGGTTCTTGGGGTCGGGCCAAGTTTGGATTTGAGGAAAACAATATTGTTCATTGTCGAGGTCGTTATTTATGTGTAATTCTGTTTTTTCATCAATGAATAGTCGAGTTTGGAACCTTTTAGCTTCTGAAATGCCGCAGTAGCGGCTCGTAGCACATTCCTGCTTAATTAAAAACATGAAGGAGACCACACACACACACACACACACACACACACACAAACAGGCGACAATACTGGACATTACAAGCTTCACAAAGGTCATTGGTTTGTCTGCTCGTATCCACAGTTTCACCATCATAACGAATACTCCACATGAGTTCAACACAAGACTGTAACACTGCACTATGACAGGATGACAACACAGAGTACAAGAGTCACAATAAGGTTTCTGTTGCAGCATTCAGTCAGTTATAGCAGAACACAACAACATGTAATGTCACATTCAAACCAGACGAATACTATCCATTATACAATAATTATTATTTTTTAATATCATCTTTTTTAGGGCTGCACCTCCACCCACATATTAAAGCATCAGATTGTTGAGTTATAAATGTCATAGATAAAATATCTTCACTATCTTCTTTAGCCAGACACGACTAACAGCCCAAAACCTGCAGAGGTCCAGTGAGCAGTGATACAAAACTAAGGAAATCATTCAAAAGTTAATGATTCGTTACTGGCGTTCTGGTGTCACTCTGCCGTCAGTGTAATGACAGCAGAGGGATCATTAGAGATCAGTTCTGTTCAAAGTCTCTTCAACTGTGGAGCTCAAATAAAGTTTTAGAGGCAACTTTGAAGCTGCTTATTGCT